AGAGATGGCTCAGTGGTTAAGAACACTGGCTGTTCTTTCAGAAGACCCGGGTTCAAATCCCAGCACCCACACGGCAGCTAACAACTGTCTGTAGCTCCAGTTCCAGGGGATCCGACAGCCTCTTCTGTCCTCCACAGGCATTGCACAACACAGGTGTACTTATCTATATGCAGGCAATACACGAATACACATAAAATTTTAAAGACGACTAGCAGTTACAGCGTGTGCGTGTGCACGGTATGTGCGTTTCTTGAAGCAATTTAAGAGACTTCGAGTGAACAGAGAGGAAGACTGAGAGCTAGAGCATAACTTCCCAGCAACAAACTATGTGAGTAGTCAGAATTAGAGCATGCTTTAATTTTTGTTTTTGTATTGGTACCTTGTAATTATCTTAGGAAGTGGATCCAAGCGGTGGCCTAACACTCTGGGGCCTCCAGGGGGCACTACAGTACAAGACACAGCCTGTCCAGGTACTAGTCAGCCCAAAATTTGTACCTGTTTTCCAGTTTGCCTGGGGGGTGCGGGTGGGGCGATCTTTTTTGATTTAAAAAAAAAAAGTTTTTTCTTAAAACTGGACTTAACAGAATAAAATCCCAAGCTCTTGACTATGGTATGCAAGGTTGGCAGAATGACACCTAATGCTGACACCGTCCACCTTAGAAGCAAGTCAGCCAGTTACTCAGCTCTTCTGCCTGATAAGCCCATCTCTCTTCACAGGCCTGGGCCCTCTTGTGCTTGTCCCAGTACCCATCCTGCTTGTACAGTCCAGCATACACCAAGTGACACTGAATGTTCATGAATCCAACATCACTGTGAACTTCCACAAGGGGTTATCTCTAGCACTAGGCATATGACAAGAACCTTCTGAACATGAGCATGAATGTCCATGGTGAGGTCAGAGGCGTTGGCTTAGAGGTTCCAGGTGAGTCCTTGCCTAGGCCAGAGGGGTGTCACATTTTTCTACAGGCTTAGATCAAGCCTCCTCTGTCTGTCACCATGCCTTCACCACCTCTGAATTCTTGTCTGTGGAGCACTCACAGTAGGTAAAAAGTGGGAATCGTCCAAAGAAAACAAGATAAATAATGAAAAATAAAAATGGAATTCCAAGAGACAGATTTGTAGCTGGATCCAAAAAAATTCTCAACTCTGACCCCAAAGACTGATCTAAAATTTGTCCTAGAGATATTTATGGGGCTGGAGAGATGGCTCAGCGGTTAAGAACACTGGCTGTTCTTGCAGAAGACCTGGGTTCAAATCCCAGCACCCACACGGCAGCTAACAACTGTAACTCCAGTTCCAGGGGATCCAACAGCCTCTTCTGTCTTCCGCAGGCATTGCACAACACAGGTGCACTTACCTACAGGTGGGCAATACACACATACACAAAAATAATAAAATTTTTTTTAAAAAGAGAAAGAGATTCTGAGTTACCCAGAAGCCTTGCTTCTTAGCTCAGCAGCTTTAACCCAGAAAGAGGCCCTTGATTGAGCTGTGGGGTCTGGCAAGATTCAATCATCCTGGCTGGTTTCTTTCTATTTCATGAGGTTAGTCAGGATAGTGGAAGCCATATCTGTCTGGAACATCCCCCACTAATAACCCTGTGTTCTCAGTGTCCCCTTCCTAGGCCAACTGATACGCCTGCTGCCCTAGGTTAATTCTGAGTACTCATTGCTCAAATCTGCCTTGCAGAGCCACAATGTAACACCATAAAAAGGCACAGGGACCCCACTATGCCCTGGAAAGAGAGACACTGCCGAGCGTGAGCCTTCCTGATGGAGGGGACAGCAGAGGGAAAGCTGAGGACACGGAAGCTGAGTTCGGGCAGCTGAGAGTTCTTTGGGTCGGGCAAGCAAGAAACTGACACAGCAGGCGGAGGGAAGGAAGACTATCTGGTGAGGGAAATTGGCATCAAAGGGCCTAGAATGTTCCTAATCTTAGTCTGTAAATGTGAAGAGCTATGAGAGAGTAGGCTGTTCCTAAACAGGACATACTCCAACATGCCATTTAAAAAATCTACAGGAAGATGGAGGATGTTTGGGGGTGAGCAGTTGGAGGCTGGGACACAGGTGAAGAAGCTATGGGCAGAATAGGGCATATATCTACTCCAAGCAAGGGTAGACCCAGTGGAAGAGAAATATGTTTCAGTTAATGGTATATTCTCTGTGAGCACTAGGTCAGGGAGCAGGACATGGAAGCTCTGACAAACAGGCGGCTGGGGGTGGGGAGAGAAAGGTATCAAAGATGACTCCCATTTCCAAGCCTGTAGGCAACAGGAAGCGGTGGTGTGGACACACACAGGGATGAGCTGCCTTATAGAGACCAAACAGTGCCACTATGGCCAAGGGGCAGAGTCACTTGTGCTAGGAACTCTCCCTGGAGGCAGGTGCTCCTCTCCAGCCCCATAGTCCAGCCCAGCTCTGACTTCACCAGTTGATGGTGAGGATTTGATGGTGAAGCACAGACAGAAGCCCGAGCTAGGATATAGTCTTCCCAAAGATGGCCTCTGGGACTGTGGAGAGCACCTGAGCTCTTAAAGGTGAAGAAAAGAGAAGGGAGCCAGACACACCAGCCCAATGTGCGTAGAGGGTAGGAGGAAACACCACATTCTCACCCTTGGGGTAACTTCCTTAGACAGGTGGGAGAATGAATTGTGATGAGCTGATACTGCAGGATGTCAGAGGGCCAGAGGTCCCAAAGAAACCATGGAGTCATAGCAGAAACAATAGCACCAGAGCAGGGAGAGAATCAGTTGGGCGGTGAGTCTCCAGGTGCAGCTAAATGAAGCTAGCAAAGCAGCCTTGGAGGTGGACTCGTGTGAACTTCCACAGAAGCCTGACGGGTAGAGGTTGTGGGACGTATAGATAAGAGGGAGCTTTTTAAGAACTAGAAATCTTAGCCAGGTGTGCCAGTTCACTCAGCCTCTGCTGCAGGTTCTGATTTGGCAGGTCTGGATGGGGCCTACAACTTTAGACTTCTACCATGCTACCAGATAATGTCAATGCTGCTGATCAGGGTCATACTGTGTGGAACAAGGCTTAGAGTCAGCTAAAAAGATGGAGTTGGGAAAGAATTCCTTCTTTTGATAATTCCACTTGGGATAAAAGCTGAGGCTGGGTGGGAGTGGCTGCATCCCTTCCTTTCTCCCACGGGTGATGAAAATGTAGGTATGAAGAGGGACAGTAAAGACCAAAGAGGCCCAACAGTGCCCCCCTCAATGCCAGGCAGATCTGGGGCTGATTCATACCCTCCCCAAAGAGGATTTGAGAGTGCAAGCAGCAGCAAAGGCACTCTCCACCCCTCTACCTCTCCCCCCACAATCCCACCCCGTCCGCTGTTCTGCAGGAAATTGCTGGACTCATTCCATGGCCCGTAAGAAACCTAGAAATGGCTATGTCCCAAGGTCAAAGGCTAACGATTTTTGTGCAAAAGTAAAAGAGGAATGGAGTCAGAAAGAGGAGATGGCTGAGGAAAAAGGTGACCTGGGCTCTGAACCCTAACCTTGAGTCCTACGTGTCCAACTTGCAATCAGAGTCAAGGGGTTTCTGAAAGGCGGGGGTGGGAAATGGAAAAAAGTTTAGGCAGGCCGAAGATGGGAGGAGCTACAGTCGCTCAGTCTCTCGGGGTCCCATCCTAACCACAGTGAGACCTCTGAGCCCTAGGCAGAGGTTAAGCCGAGCTCGGGTTCGCTGAGGGATGTGCGGGGAGAGCGGCCAGCCAAGGATACCAGCGGAGGCCGGGAGACACCGAATGAGTCCAGGAAGCCGGCGTTGGCCGGGGAGTGCAGCGCGTACTTGGGGGAAGGAGACCCGGCTGCAAAGAGGCTGGAGCTTCGTCAGGTGGCGACGGGGAGGCCGTGGAGGTTCCTGAGCGCGGCGGGATGAGCTCGGCGGCGTAGGCCTGGCTTTCCCGTCGCGCAGCCCCACGGCTCCTCCGTCCTCGCCTCCTAGGCCCCGACCGGCTTCCGCGGCTCCCTCCACGGCCTCCCGCAGGCCGCAACCCCCAGCCCCAGCGACCGACTCACCGGGGTCCGCCCCGCCACCGCGGCCCGAGCCCGGCCACTCCTCCCCGGATGATGTCACGTCCCTGGCCGCCCCTCGGCCGGCCGCGCCGCCCCGCCCCCGCCTCCCCTGGCCCCAAGTCCCCTGGGCCCACCCGCTGCCGACATCCCTCCTCCTGCCCGCGCTCCCTCCCTTC